ATGGGGTGAAGAACTACTCCATAAATCCTGAGTTTACTGAGATGGTGTATTTTACCCCGTTCGAAGATTATATTTCAGGTACTCTAGCTGTCGAAGACCCCTCACAGAGCAAGAGGGTAGTACATGGATAGAGATCCCAACTACATTAAAGATTGAAGACTTTCTTTTTAAAAAACTACTCAATTTTATGAATATAAATTATGGATTTGGTGTTTGTCATTTTAAATGACACAGAGTTATGCCATTTTAAATGAGAGAAAGACACAAGCAATGAAAATTACAAGAGAGAAAATGAGTAATTTTTTTAGTTTAAATATTAAATAAAAAATATTAATTTGCGTCTTTCTTTATTTTAAATGGCATAACTCTATATCATTTAAAATCACAATTTTTTTCCTTTTTGTCAATATAAATTACAGATAAATGGATACATGGATATAGATGGTGTGCATTGCATATTACTCCTATCCTGTAAGGAATTTCAATTGGTCCGGATCTTATTCCAATTTGAAATTAAATCTAATTGAATTTTGAATAGATATTTTTATCAATTTGATAGAAATAATTTTGTTAATCCTACATTCATGCTTGGTTTAATCGAACTAATCAAATAATTAATAAAAGAGTAAATACCCTTTTTCGTCCCTGGCAATTTTTACGAGGCGCATTATACTTCCGAACAATAAAAAAGGCTCATTTTAGTCCCTAATATTTGAAAAAAAAAGGCCACGGTTGTCCTTCCGTTAGTTGGCATCTGACGGCCCAACTAACAGTGCACATGTGGACCGTTACTTTGCTGAGTCACCGTTAAGTATGTCAGCGTGGAAGTAATACGACGCTGTTTTGAACATGCCTTATGTCTTGTTGGAGTTTTGGACAACTGAAGGTCCTATTTGGTACTTAACAAATTTATCGAGGCCCTATTTGGTCCTTAACACTAAAAATTCACCATTGCAGCAATCCACCAACCACAAACCTTTCAAACCACCATTGCAGCAATCCACTGGCCCTATTTGATCTTGAATGGGAACATTATTATGCATGCATTATATATATTATAAAACCAGACAAGAAGAGCTAGCAAGACAAAAAATGTATATATATTATTCATGGAATTTATAGATGTTGGGGGGTATGCATATGTATATTACCATTCCAGCCAATAAGCAAATGGAAAGATGGACACAGTTGCAAAGATTTGGCGGTAAGCAACAAGTATAAGAAGGTTCATGCCAGATTGCATTGCAAGCTTTGAGGTAATATTCATCCCTGCATAAACTTATTATCAGATGTTTGGAAATGTTATCACAGATTGTTATCAATAACAACTTTCATTTAGCAAGATGGATTTCTTGTTTAGATGTATATGAAAGAACTAATACAAGTTGATAAATATTAGTTGACTGCCTAGTGAATATTATTATTAAGCTTAGTAAATATCATTCTTGCTGCATAGCTGATCATCAGATCATATGAAGGACCTGATGCAAGGGCTGGTAGGGACGATTTTGGGGATTTGTTGAATGGATACAACATAGATCATGATGGAGAATCAGGAAAGCTATATACATTTTTTAGTGCTCCAGACTACCCACAGATTCCAATTTGCATATGTAGCTAGCAATTTTATATTGATATTATTCATTTATTCAATGGTTTTACTTTTGTTGCACCTGTTGCATTTATGTTGGCAATATCACACTTCTTGATACTTTGGTTGAATAGTTAAAATGGCTTCACTGAGTGTTTTTGGAAACACGTAAAAGACACAGGCTCTGTCATTGGCCATATGCTAACATGGATGTATTGGCATACAATTTATGTTGTTACCTATTAAGATAGCCAGAATTTTTCTCTGCACTGTAGCATCTGGTATTTGTTTAGAAATCTAGTATGTAGGAATACGTGGAAATTGTTAGCTTGAAATGATAGAAAATTCATACGTAGTCAACGTGTACATTTCGTTAGCAACTTTGCACATGGGAATTGTTACAGAGTACAGACATATAGGTTTTATCACTTCAAAGGAAACAGATCTCACACACTTAGTGTTTGAGAGATGAAATGTAGCTTATTACAAGGATGTGTGACTTTTAGATTTGCAGCATCTGAAGTATTGTATCTTTAAAGGTCTTCTATATTGCAGTTTGGTAAAAGAAGATATAACAATGAGGGAGCATATGCACTATTGAAGTGGTCAGATTTTGAAAGTCCTTCATTTCACTAATTCAAATCAGCAGAAAGACCAATGGTAGTGAATTCTTAATTATCTAGATAACAAACAAAGTCTGAACGGAATGTTTTCTTTTCTACTGTAGGGGATCAAATGCAAGTTGAGGGTAAATTACATTGGGCAGAAAATGAGATTTGTATTGTCTTATGGAGAAGACTTAAAAAAAAAGAATCTAATAATCAATTTGGAACATTTAGAACATTTTGTTAACTGTGTCTGACTTTTGTACTGCTTGCTTCCCAGGTGGATCTGTATGTTGATTTTGATGCTAATGACATGGACTTGAGTAAACTTGACTCGTCTCAAATCGTATGTTAGCAAATAGCTTTTCCAAAAAGTGCTCCTCAACTTTCCTTTTCATGTGATAACCATAGGATGAATATAATTGCATGTAAGAGCATTGGAAATCCTAATAGAAATAGACAATGTTGTGCTGCATATATTTCATATTGTATTGCCATTAGGCTATTATTATCAAGCTTTACTGTCTAAATTTTACATTGGATTGCTGCAATGGTGGTTTGAAAGGTTTGCTGCAATGGTGATTTTTAGTGTTAAGGACCGAATAGGGTCTCGATAAATTTGTCAGGGACCAAATAGGACCTTCAGCTGTCCAAAACTCCAAGAAGACATAAGGCATGTTCAAAACGGCGTCGTATTACTTCCACGCTGGCATACTTAACGGTGACTCAGCAAAGTAACAATCCATGTGTGCTCCGTTAGTTGGGCCGTCATATGCCAACTAACGGAAGGAAAAATGTGGCCCTTTTTTTTCAAATATTAGGAACTAAAATGAGCCCTTTTTATTGTTCGAGACTAAAATGTGTCTCGTGAAAATTGTCAGGAACGAAAAATGGTATTTACTCTTAATAAAAAAAGAAATAAAAAAGTAAAAAAAATTACCGGTTAAATAAAATTCAAGCGGGTTTGAAACTCTATACAGGTATTGAACCTTGAAACTTTGGAAATTCTTATGGGGCGTTTGGTACATGAGAAATTCTTAGGGTGTGTTTGGTAGGTGGTTTTTAATGGGATAGATAGGTAAGTGGTGGTGGGAAATAGAGAATGACTAGTTTGGTAGAAGATTAAATGAAATAAAACAGGACATTTTCTTTCCCCTTGCAAATATGAAATCAGTGTGTTTTGGTATGAAAATCACTGTTGGAGAAACCCACCTTCGAGGTGGTATTCATAGAAAACTAGGGAAGTGATATATTTAGGGGGCGTTTGGTCGAGGAGAAATTTTTTGAATACTAAGGAAATGTAATTGATAGGGAAATGGTTGGAAAGTGAGATTGGTAGGAAAATGTAAAAAAAGTTGTTTGGTTGAGTAAAATATTACTGAGAAAATTGGGTTAAATTTTTTGAGTGTATGTTTGGTTGAAGATAAAATATTGATGGGATAATTGATTAAATATACTAAAATACCCTCTCTTTTTCAAATTGATGGGGTATTATAGTCTGCATCATTGGTCCTCTACTTTGCCCATTTAGCTGGGCAACTAAAATACCATCTATAAATTGTCTTTTTGAACAGTAATTTTTGCATGCAATTCTCAAATGCTATGCATCTGTGGTGCCTGGGGAAAAGTTCAAAATCGGTCTACCAAACGTGGCTTGCCCAGTTTGCCAACCTTAGATGCATAAGAAAGTCATGAAATAACCTGAAACAAACACCACCTTAGATGCCAAAATTTTTATGCAATTGCCCCTCTCCAGAGAACCCCACCTCCAATTGTTTAATATTCAGGGGTATTTTTGAAATTTTGTCATATTTTTTCATCAATATTTTATTTTCAACCAAACATAGTCTCAGTATATTTTACACAATTTTCGTGGTAATATTTTGGTCTACCAAATAACATTTTTAAAATTTTCTCACTTATTTTACTTTACAACCATTTCTCCACTATTTATATTTATCTGATTATAAAAAATTTCTCCTATATCAAACACTCCCTTATAAAAAAATTGTTAAATATAAGTATTGATTACAGGCTACATAGGTCGTTACTTTTCTATTCTTTTTTTATTAATAAAAGGACAAGAGTAAAAACGAATATAATAAACAATTAGGAAGTAGAAAGTGATTCAAGAAACCATCCTTGGTTGGGAGTTGAGACCCATCTACAAAACCGTAGGGCGCACGCCAAACTCCAGAGTCTAAATCGGTGGACACCGAACCCACAGTGTTGGGCTTTGCCGCTTCGGTTTTGAAAGCAAAAGGTGGAACAACGTCACGGTAAACAAAAAGGAAAAGTGATATCATAATAAATGAAATGAAATGAAAGAGAAAGGATATCCCACGCAAAACGTAATATTCGCTTTTTGAGAACCGAATGATGTTCAACTTTTTCTGATTAAAAAATAAGAGTAAATACCATTTTTGTCTCCAATAAATCTTACGATGCCCGTTTTAGTCTCTAGCAAATAAAAAGGCTCATTGTAGTCCTTAAGAAATTCAAAATGGACTCATTTAGTTAAAATTGTGATCCCTCACAAATTCAAAAAAGACCCATATTAGTTCCTAAAAGAACTAAAATGAGTCCATTTTAAATTTTTTAAGGACCACGATGGACCTTTTTATTTGCTAGGGACTAAAGCGGGCATCGTAAGATTTGCTAAGGAAAAAAAAAAGATATTTAATCAAAAAATAATAAAAAATAAGGCTGCGGGAATGACCGGTGAATCGTGGTGACTTGTAGATTCAACCAAACATCCCATGACAATAAATAAAAAAGTCCCATGCGTCATTTTCGGGCTGTTTGGAAGAGTAAACAAAAACCAGCACACCGTCACCAACAGATAAATCGTGTTTATTCCTTAACCCTTGCTAGTGAGTTAGGTGGGGGGGCACTCTAAAAGCAGAAAGAAAAGAAGAAACTGGTGGTGTGCAATTGCAAAGGTATGTGCCTCTCTCTCTATTCTCTATCTGTGCTTGGTGCTTCCTTCTACTTCCCTTGCTGCTTCTTTCGTTTGTTTCAGTCTCAGGCGCGCGTGCGTGCTTATTCGTCTTTAAGATCGTGATAATGTTAACATATTTATTATGTAGGAGGAACTAGGAAGACAACTTAAAAGAGAGAGAGAGAGAGAGAGATCAGAGAAGGGTTTGAGTTTCAATGGCGAACATAGATATCGAAGGGATCTTGAAGCAGCTGCCAAATGATGGGCGTGTTCCCAAGACAAAAATTGTTTGTACTTTGGGTCCTGCTTCTCGATCTGTAGAAATGACCGAGAAACTTCTTAAGGCTGGGATGAACGTTGCACGTTTCAATTTTTCTCATGGTACTCACGACTATCATCAGGAGACCCTCAACAATCTTAAGACTGCTATGCATAACACTGGAATACTCTGTGCCGTCATGCTCGACACAAAGGTCACCCTTTTGCTCTACACCCTCATTTTTTTGGTTATGCATATTTTTATAACATCGGTTCTTCTAATCCTTTTTCACATGTAATTGTTATGCAGTATGTTGACCCCTCTTGAACATAAACCATGAAATCCATCTATATTGCTCACAAGATCACTCATCTCACTCAATACTCTGTGTTGTTGAAATGTCACAATTCATTAGTTTGTACTTCTTTTTAGTGGACTAAAGTGGTCCATTTTGGATTCTGTTTGGTGTCCTTGAAGCAGAGTGGGTTCAGTTTAATTTTTTTAACTATGTAGTGTGTAGGAGAAGGAACTGAGGCAATCTTCAATTAAGAATAAGATCGTGAACTGTTTGTTGGCCTGGTAGTATTTAATTATCATAGTCAATGCATTATAATATGAAAATACTTTCAAAATGAATTCTTAAGTTGTTCTCTTTATTTTTGTATATGTTTGATTGCTTGATCTGGTAAACTGACCACTCTATTAATTATCTTTTTAAGGAATTTTATGCTTCATTTGAGTAAGTAAGAAATAAAAACTATGTCTGTGATACCTCCATTGACTAGGTACGTCCTCATGAATTTGGAGTTACATCTTTCACAAATCACTTTTTAATTTACATGATTAAGCAACGTGTAAAGCGAGTCATGCACAAAGGTGGTTACTTATACAATTCTTCTAGACAGGATTCTTCCTTGTTCAGATGCCATGCCTACTTTTTATTTTGTTTTTTTAAAAAAATATTGAAATCAAAGTGGTCAATGCGATGGCAATGATTTTGGTGATGGTACGGCTTGTGGATAAGCATGATATTTATCCCTATTTCTTATCATTTATTTCATATTTCTTGTGGGTTGTTACTATATATAGGGGCATGGCAGCACAAGTTCAAAGTGCTTTTCAGCTTACTTGAATGGATTTTCTAATCAATCTGTTGTATCTGGTTCATGACCAGTATGTGCTTTTACATTTAATCCAGGGTTGTGTGAGTTTCATGGTTTGGTTATGGAGTTTCGGGTGCATTAGAGAGCCTTCATAAACAGGTGTTCAACAGTAGTGGATAGTTTCAATTTTTTTTTTTTCCCACTTCATAAATATCTTCTTGTTGAGGAGGATATCTGGTCCCCATCATTGTACTATTATATTACTCTCATTGTGATAAATCTCTTTGTTGACCAATAAATTACTAACGTTACTGCATACATCTGCTTTCTGCTGTATTTGTACAGGGACCTGAGATTCGGACTGGTTTTCTGAAAAATGGGAAACCTATTACACTTAAAGAAGGACAAGAAATCACCATAACTACTGATTATGATATTAAGGGGGATCAGGAGATGATATCGATGAGTTACAAGAAACTGCCTTTCCACTTGAAGGCTGGAAATACTATACTGTGCTCTGATGGAACAATCACTCTCACTGTCTTGTCTTGTGATCCAGGTGCTGGTACTGTTAGATGTCGTTGTGAAAACACTGCAACGTTGGGTGAGAGGAAAAATGTTAATCTACCTGGTGTTGTTGTGGAACTTCCCACTCTTACTGACAAGGATAAGGAAGATATTCTTGAATGGGGTGTCCCTAACAATATTGACATGATTGCTCTTTCATTTGTTCGTAAGGGCTCAGATCTTGTTAATGTCCGAAAGGTTCTGGGGCCACATGCGAAGCATATTCAGTTGATGTCTAAGGTAATATAAACTGTATGCATCTTCCATAATATAAACTATAGCTTTTAATTATTACAGGTGATCTATTTCTCATTTGTATGTGGTTGCGAATGGCTGATATATATTTTTTATATTTTTATTTTTCCCCCCCTTCACCATACACGATATGTCCACTGATGATAGGAACAGGAATATTGTTTGTTGTGTATTGTGGAAGTGAAATTTATATTGGTTAAGTGGCTCTAAAAACTCAGACTAACAAGTGGGGACCCCATGCTTCAATCCCCTTTCTAGAGCCCATAATATCCATCTTGGGGTAAAGGAAAGGAATTAGTCTTTGTCTAGTTTGATGTCTTCTATACATCTTCAAGTTGAATGTATCTTGCATCTTTTTTCTTTTAACACAAGTTGCATGCTTGTTTGTATTATATGAAGGAGTACTCGACTGTGTGGTATTCTTCCATATGCTAAACAGTCTTTTTTATTTTAATTCAGAAATCCTGATTTATGTTATAATGATTTTGTGGAATTCCAAGGTTGAGAACCAGGAGGGAGTCATGAATTTTGATGAGATCTTGCGTGAGACTGATGCATTCATGGTGGCACGTGGTGATCTTGGAATGGAGATCCCAGTTGAAAAGATTTTCCTGGCTCAGAAGATGATGATATATAAGTGTAATCTTGTTGGCAAGCCTGTGGTCACTGCTACCCAGATGCTTGAGTCAATGATAAAGTCTCCTAGGCCAACCCGAGCTGAAGCAACTGATGTAGCTAATGCGGTTCTTGATGGAACAGATTGTGTCATGCTTAGTGGTGAGAGTGCAGCTGGGGCTTACCCTGAGCTTGCTGTGAAAATCATGGCTCGCATTTGTATTGAAGCGGAATCATCCCTCGACTATGGTGCTATCTTCAAAGAGATGATAAGGTCTACTCCCTTGCCTATGAGTCCGTTGGAAAGCCTTGCATCATCTGCTGTTCGAACAGCCAACAAAGCCAAAGCAAAACTCATTGTTGTGCTGACACGTGGCGGGAGTACTGCTAAGTTGGTTGCTAAGTATAGGCCAGCAGTTCCAATCTTGTCAGTGGTGGTTCCAGTTCTGACAACAGACTCATTTGATTGGACCTGCAGTGATGAGACACCAGCAAGGCACAGCTTAATATACAGGGGCTTGATTCCTATATTGGCCGAAGGATCTGCCAAAGCTACTGATGCTGAATCTACTGAAGTAATTCTGGAAGCTGCTCTTAAGTCCGCAACAGAAAAGGGGCTTTGTAAGCCTGGTGATGCAGTTGTTGCCCTTCATCGTATTGGAGCTGCTTCTGTTATAAAGATCTGCTTAGTGAAATGATATGCTGCTAGATTGCAGAATGTGTTATTCGCCTGAGTGGCACAAACTGATGCAGAGTTATGTTTTGGCTTTGACTTGTTAAACTTTGTGCTGTTTGTCCTTTATTCGCTTCAGTTCAGACAGATTGAGCGGGTTTTTGTATTCTCTCTTAATATAACGGAGTACTTCTAGATTTGAGATCGTTATGAAAATAATTCGTATTTCTTTCTTGCATTTTACATAGGGAAAAGCTATCCTTCGATAATTGTGTCATTTTTTTTTTTTTTATTTTTTCAGGTGGTGAAGTGCACAAGTTTATCTTTATGACATGAAATAATTTATCTCATTTAACATGAGATTAATAAAACACTTTTGTATATATCTCACGGAATACCCCTTTCCATTATCTTTGAAAAATGAAAAGAACGTATTTTACATGGGTTTAATAGATATTGACTTAAATATTACATTAAAAATTTAATGGAATATTAAAATAAAAATTGTTATTTAAAAGATTAAAATAAAAAATTATCACATTTATAGAGATTATATATATATAATTGTTATTATTAATTTGAAAGCGTTCCACTTGTTTTCTCAACTCAAAATTTTGACTTATAATTAATTTTCTTGTGTAAAATTTATCACTTTAAGTTATTCGAAATTTTCAAAATTATTATGATTATGACATTTTCTTTTGGAAAGATGATAATAACTTTTTTTTTTAATACAAAACATAATTAAAATCAAGAATATTTATTCCATTTAGATTTTAGACAAATTTCATTGATCAAGCCTTCAATGATTTATTGTGGACACTCGAAGTTTTGTGGTATGTAGTCGTTGTTTTATATCATTTGAGTGATTTCATCCGTTGTTATAGGATTTATCCTATTTCGTCATGATTAAAATTTGAATTTATATAAATTACTCTACCAACGATAACGAAAGAGATAGTAAAGATGATATAAGTTTAAAACGATGATAAGTATAAAATTCTCCTTAAATAATTTATAAGTTAAAAAAGTTATATAATTGTTAATTAAGCTTAATTTTGTTTCTAAAATTCTTATTTTAACTTTATCTTTAATTTGATTAAGCTTCAAAAATAAAAAAAGTAGGCCAAATGTGTCTTAACTCCAGGGTCCCGAGATAAGGCATCCTCAGTGAGCAGAGCATCTAATTGATAAGCTATGTTTTCACTTCACCAAATAATTTAATTTCCACCGCCACAGTGTTCCTCCGAGCTCTGCAACGGAATGGATCTCAGTTTATAATAATCATATGCTCTTCTTCTTCTTCTTCTTCAACAACAACACTATCATTTGAAAAACACATTAGACAGAGATGAGCATCACCACTTATGGATGTTGCTGCCGCTGCTACTCCACACAGTCGTCCAATTCCTTGGTTTCTTTGTTCTCTTCCTCTTCATTTGCAGTTGCAGACTCCAACAACCTTCTTCGTTTGAGGCAGCCTCAGCCTCAGCCTCTGCTTGTTTCTGCTTCTGCTCCTCTATCCAACAACGACGACGACGCTAATGATTCCAGCGCAGGAAGAAGACAATCCATCAAAGGCTCGGGAACTACAGCTAGAGGACGCAGATTGCTTAGAATTCGCGACGAGAAACAGCAACGGGAAAACTACCGCCTTAACAATTACCCTGCTTGGGCAAAGTCCTCCAAATTCTCCCTTCAAAATTTACATATATCAACATGCTTGCTTTCGTGCGTTCTTTTTATAACAAAATTAATGATTTGTTTGCAGAGTCCTTGAAGATGCTTGCAAAGACGATACTGAGCTCCGTGCCGTTCTTGGAGATACTATTGGCAACCCTGAACTCATGAGGAAACGGGTATGTGTGTTTCCTTCCCCTGTAATTTTAACATTCCATTCTCTGTTAGTTCTAGCATTCCAGTTCAGTCTATTCCCACTTCCTAGGATTAAAACCAGTTTTCTTGCACATATGTGCCTTACCACCACAATATCATGTTGGGGTGTGTTCTTACTTACCGCTCAATGTATCCATCCGCACACAGCCAATTTGATCAAATCTAAGGAATTAACCAATTTTTACATGATTCTGACTTACTTACAGTTTTGTTGGCATGCAAAGAGTCTTTTTCATGCTTGTAGCTTCTCTTACTTCTCATTATGTATAATGATTTGTTGGTTCTATGTTTGCAATGTTAATGAATCTGGTGAATGTGTTACAGGTTGAAGATAGAGTGCGGAAGAAGGGTAGGGATTTTAGTAAGTCAAAAACAGGATCTGTGCTTGCTTTCAAAGTCAGCTTTAGAGAGTAAAGACAATCTTTTTACTTTGTCTTATCTTCCTCCCCCACTGCCTTTCCCCCTCTGTCTACACCTTTAATCTCAATAAATCATACGCATACAAATGCAGCAAAGGCTATGGATTTAGTCTTTTATTTTATTCTTATTTGTCATAATTTGTTGGTGTTTCAATGGCAAGCATTTGGGGTCCTTTTTTGTACTTCAAGAGTCTTTTCTGCCTCCTTCCTTTTTACTTTGGTCTGGGGTACCTGATGCCTATTCTATTTGTCAAATGCTTTATTTAATAAATAAATTCAGTTGTTATAACTTGGAAACCGTTTCTTAAATATATGAGGATTGTATAACACAAGAATATCTTTTGTTAATTGATGCACATACAGTGCGTGTTCTTGATGAACACTGGGTGAGTCCTTTCACCTTGGAGCATTTTCTCATGATATGTTTTAAAGGTTTGGGCAGGAGCAAAGGAAGCTAAGATCTTATGGCAGTCTACAATTTATGCAGTTCTCTGGTGTATTTGGTTAGAAGGGGAACCTTGGCGCAACAATTGGTGTTGTCGCCATGTGACTTGAAGGTCACTAGTTCAATTAATGTAATAGGCCTCTTGCAAAGGCAAGGTAAATCTGCCTACTATAGGCCCTTTCCTGGACCTTGCACATAGCAGGAGCTTTGTAGCACCATACTACCCTTTTTTTGGTGTATTTGGTTGGAGAGCAATGCCTGTAAGAGTGCATCACTGCCCTTAGTTTTGTTGTTTCAAGGAAATTTTTATTACTGATGAGCAATGAGGTTGGACATCCCTGCATTTATCATACACCTTTGCTCGTTGTTTCTTTTCCATTTTTCTATTTTTCTTTTTAGGAGAATTTCCTAACCTCTTCCCCAGTTGTAATCTCTCTCCTTTTCTAATAAAACTATTATAAAGGACAAACCACTAGGCACAAGACTCCTTGACTTGTGAGGATAAGAGTGTGGATCGATTGTGTGCAGCTTTACCCTTGCATTTTTTTGCAAAGAGACTGTTTTTCATACTCGAAATCGCGACCTTCCGATCACAAGGAGCAACCTTACCGCTATTCTAAGACTCACCCTAAAAAAAAAGAAAAAAGAATGATGAACCCAAAAAGTTTTTTTTTGGGCTCAATCATAAATCATAATTGCATTTTCCATAAATTCTATATCCAGTGTATTCAAACGCATTTGCAATTTTTCATATTCTGAATCCAAACCTTCATCAACATTTTATTCTGGCATCACTCTAATGCCATGCCTCTTGCAGCTTCAATCCAGTTGATTCATATATATGGTTTGAATTGTTTGGATCACCATCTGATCAAGACGTTAATATAATTGGTAGTGTAAGTGGTTCATTTATCTTTTTAGCCTTTGATATATAGTTATATTTATTCATAAAATCTTACTGTTTAATTCATGTAAAATATGCAGGTTATTCAGTCATGGTATGTCATGGGTCGCCTTGGTGCCTTCAATTCTTCAAATTTGCAGGTTAGGCCATGTTTACTTCTCGGGTTAATTTATTTAATGGTTATTATTTTCTCTCTCTTTCGTGTACTACTACTTCAGTTTGCTGTTAGGAGTCCAATACCTTAGTTATGCACTGTTTTACAAAAATGTTAGTACTCATGACATCATAAAATCTATATTTAGAGTCAGTTGACTTGAAATTCCTCCAAGTGCTGGCACCATATTTGGTATTTACTGAGAGAAAGAAGCATGTGCGGGAGAAAGTGAAACTGAGATGCTCTACCCAAATAGGTTGTGTTTATTTATATGCATATACTTGGAGGCCATCAATCAGTTAGGAGGTGGAAGACTGTTGCTGGAAACCTTCCCACGTTCATCAGCTAGTTCTGAGCCATCTCTGTTTGGTTCATTCCTGCATGCTTTGCTGTATTACTAACCCCGTTTGCTCTAATTCTCTGCTCTAGCTTGTTGTGTTTGCCTTGGATTAGCTTATTCCTGTTTGAGTTATTGCATTTTTGCCCATTTTGCTCTGCTTCCCTATTTGGACTTGTTTTCTGATTGCCTGTGTTTCTCTGTTTGCCTTTGATTTTTTATTTTTTTTGTGGTTTGCTATGTTCTAGTCCATCTGCTAGCCATTTTTGTGATGGATTCAGTTCATATTCCGGACGTGTTTCCCCATTTTTTTGGGCCTCATAAATCCTAACTTGAAGGTACTCTTGAATGAATCTTCCTATTTTTGTTGATGAATTTGGAGAAGAATTTCCAGTGGTGATTTCCCCCAGTGACTGTTTGTAGTGGCTCCTTTCTTTCTTACTACAATGCTTCTTTTTGACCGTGTCCTTGGCCATGCAACATATACATACCAACCAGCTCTTCCAACTGCGCAACATTCTGCCCACCATTTTTCACTATTTATCTTTCCAGCACAGTGCTCATTTTGTTCTCTCCTCTCCAGAAATCAGCTTGTCTGGAATAACTCATCTTGTCTCCCCAACAGTGTTTTGGTTATACATTGTTGTTTATGTAGTACATTATATTAAAGTTCGTTTATTTATAGCAAGCTGAGAGCTTATTAACCTTTGTGCTTCAGCTAGATGGGGAGTTTTAGAATGTCAGGATTCTTGTTGTTTTAGGAGTCTTATTATGTTATTAGTTCTATTGGATTGAACTTCATGCTGTGCTTCTTGTTCGGTGAAGCTATGTGATTGAAATTCTATGATATTTAGATTTCTTATTTGAAGTTTTCCTTAAAAAGATTGTACAATATGGACTGGTGTGAACCCAGTACTGTGATCAACAGACAATATGGCCATCAAAATATGTGAAAAATCCTAACTTGTTCCAGATGTAAACTTTCTGCTCTACTATGGTGACATTTGTGTGATATAAGAGTATGGTACAGGCTTCTGTTATAGTTGTTTTGTTACATTTAGGCATCGGACAATGTATGCTTACACATTAGCAACTGGCTTCAATATTAGTGATTAGATCTTATAATCAGAGTATGGAGCATATATTCCATTTCGAATTTTATCCAAACTGGTCTGTGCAATATATATATAGCCAAACAGAAAGCAAAAAAGAAACAAAAAAAATATTGGGCAATCCCTAGAAACTAGGAAAAAAGAAAATGTTGACTACAGTCCGTATAATTTTCAGATGTCGTATATCCCATAATTTCAGGGATTGTTTTCCAACAGATCTATATTGCAAATAATATCTATCTGTGTCTTTAGATATTATGGTTGGGTTCGATGCATATTAAGATACAACATAAACAGAACAATACAACGAGTCACAGGGCAATTTTTTGTTTCATCTGCAGTTTGATGACCCATGCACAGGACTAAATTTTTTGTGATATCAATTGATATAATAGAGCAAAATTTATTTTAATGCTCTTTGTGATATGCATTGTTTTGCATGCAATAAATCTAGGATAATGAAGGATTGGGGTTATTGGTCTTTGAGTTGAGTTGTATTCCGTACTTATATTATTTGAACAATCAAACAAGGTACAATTGTTTTTATATTATTCTTTCCGTCAACCCTACTAGTTCGGGGTACAGGTGTTGTTGATGTTGATTATGTTGTCCTTTAATTTTTAGCAAATAAAATTGACCTTATATTTGTTTTAGGATTGTTTTCTTTGTCTGTTTTTCCAAAACAGCTATAATAAGAATAAAATATTTTTATACTGAACTGTCAAATGACTCATGACAATGAAAGACACTCTAAAAGTTTTAGTGATTTTACCTTTTTGGAAATATTATTGTCAAATTTGGTTTAGTGTGAGATGCTAAGGGCATGATCTGACTGCATTGTCATCTATTTGTAGTTTCCTACTTGTATCTGTTACCTTTTCACAAAGAATTGAAATATATTGACTTCATGGCAGCTGGCGAATTCATCAATGGAGTATGATCCTGTATATGATGCAGATAAGGGTTTCAAAGTGATGCCATCATCTTTCCATGATATCAGTGACGTTGAGTTCCAGGATAACTGGGGACGTATTTGGTATAACCGCTAGAACTCTTTTCTTTTTACCTGTATAACTAGTTTTATACCCTTTGTATGGAGGTTAGAAAAATTGAATGACAGATAAATTATGAATTAAAATAATTTTTTTAAAAGAAGTATATGCTTTAAAAATATTCACTATTAAAAGTATTAGATTTGTTGCTAAAACTCATTAAATACATCTTGAAAAGTAGGGAACTTTTCTTTAATCTTACACAGCTTCTAGTATCTAAAAAGTTATAGAATTCTTATTAAAAAGGAGTAGAGACCTGTTGGTTTAGTATACAAACAATTAATAAAAATACCATTTAGTTAAATACATGAATACAATAGAATATGAGAGCAGAATAGGGTATAATTTTTAAATCAAAATTCTCTACTAGTTTGATATATTATAGAATATTCAGTGTGTAATTTATAAGCTTTCATATAAAACAATTGTTAATTTCATATATTGATAATTATGATAAATTCACAATAAAAAATATTGCAATATAATAATAAGAAATTGTACAAACCCCAAAATTAATCTTAATATTTTCCAGCAAAAAATCTAGCAAAAGATAAAGTTCAAAATGTCTTACATAAATTTTCTATATGTAAAGATAATTTTTTGTATTACTTTTCACAATTTAAAAATAAATAAAATTTAATGGGTTTCAAGACTTAAACTCAAACAGAACAAATTAAAAGCATAAAACACAGAAAAAAAAAATCCCAAAAACAGATAAATGATGAAAATTTGCAACTCACAAACAAAAAAAATGCTAACATATATGAAGTCTTATATGAAATGAACCATAATAAGAAATCAAGTTTTTGTAAAACAAAGAGTAGATAAATGACTATAATCTTAAATCTCCAAAGACTCTTTCTTAGGATTGATTTTGATTACATGATTGAAACCAAGACACAAACTGGAAGAAAGAGAGATAAGAAACATCCAAAATGTTTTTCAGAATAGTAGAAACTTGGTCCCTTGTTAGTCCTTACAACAATTCTTTCCAGCACCGATTCTAGCATTTTCTCTGTTGTTGGAGGTATCTAACAGTTTTGCAAAGGATAAATTGAGCCAAAAAACAAAAAAGAGATGAAGTACTTTGCAACAGAGAAAAGAATGAGGAAAAAAGAAAATAAAGAAAGTGAAAGGAAGAGAAAGAAACATTTTGAAAAATATTTGGAGATGAAGAAAGTTTAAGTTAGGAAAGAAGTTAGAATATTAAGATGAAGAAAGAATAATGCACGCAAGAATTTCAATTTCATTTGAGATAACTTTATCTACAACCACTAAATCATAACTGTACAAAGATGAATCAATGGTGATAAAGGAAGAGAGAGAAAAAAGAATCATAATCATTCAAAAGTGAATTAATTAATATAAGGAAATAAATAAACAAAACAACGTAATTTTGGGGTGACCGGAGATAAATATATCTCAAGTGACTTGAGAAATATTTTTCTCATATATATATATATATATATATATATATATGGAACATGATCATTTGACACTAGTGTGAAACAAAAAGTTTGACAATCATTGATCTTGCCTTGATTTAACGACTTTGATTTGTAAGCATGTGAAATCGTTGATCTTCCTTGATCTAATGGCTCTTAGATGAGGCATCAAACTTTAAATTTGACACCGATGTTAAATGATTCTACCCCTATATATATATATTGAGGGCGACTGGAAGATCACATATTTGTCTGGGAAACGGCTTTTTTACACAAATGCAAAGGTAAGAACTTGTACAATCGATCTTTATCTCTACCTTCACAAAGTTGTGCACATCGGGATATGCCCTAATATAGATATAGATTCAAAAGCGTTTTAGAAAAAAAAGAAAAAGATTAATGATTGGTGGAATTGCATTGGATAGGTCTGTATTGGTGAAGTAAAACAAATCAGAATTCATACATTTTAGATTTGAAATACTTGAAAAATGGAGCTAATTGCTTGATTCTAAGCTGTATAAGGAAGTAAAAATTTGGAGGAAAAGGTCTCATGTATGAATGACACTTGTCATCTGATGATTGTGAAATGTGAAATATGTGGTTTGGTTAAGACTCCTGTTGGAACAATATATTTTAAGCTTCAGAGGTATCTTACTTACAGGGTGGACCTGGGTACATCTGATAATTTTGCAATTGATGTTCTTCTCAACTGCCTAACTGTCTTAAGCTCAGAGTAAGTTTGAATATTTGATTTAATGTCCATGGACGTTTTTCTTTTGTTCGTTGTCATGCAAAAACAATTATAATTGACCTTTTTAAGAATAGCAGATATCTTGGTATCCAACAGATTGTTTTTGGTGGTCGCTGCATGGGTGATTGGGAGGAGGGGATGACAAACCCTGACTATGGTTACAAATACTTCAAGATCTAAATTGATTTCATTCCTTGCCCTGTGCTTTTGATTTGGCTCAAAAGTGATTGGGAGGAGGGGATGACAAACCCTGACTATGGTTACAAATACTTCAAGATCTAAATTGATTTCATTCCTTGCCCTGTGCTTTTGATTTGGCTCAAAAAAGTACAGCAGGTGGTTCAGTGACATTATGCATTCAAAATAACATGTCCTCCGGTTTTCACGTTATTGGTTGCTACAATCTTTGGTCTGAATGGTTATCTTTAACTCACCATGAGTTCCCAATCGTGCTTGGTTGCCACTTACCGCATAGAATTTTCGTGTACGATTTGGAGCGAGAAACCTAGAAAATTACCTGTGTTGGAAATGAGAAATGCCTCGTAGGTGCGGCCTGTGAAATGATTTACATTTTAATTGCTATTTTGATTAAGTATCAAATTAATCTAACCTAACTATTTATCAAACTCTTGAGACTTTGCTTTATTCCCCAAGATATCATGGTTTGCACTTTAATTTGTTAAAATATGAAAGAGTTAATGTTAGGTAAGTCAAAATAATAGGAGTTATCATCAATCCAGGTGCCAATTTATTCTAATAACAATTTTGGCACCAAAAGAAAAAAAATCTGATTGTGTAGTATTTTTAATCAGTACAGGAGGGGTGGTTTATTAATGAAATTAGTTTTATATTTAAAATATGGCTTTAATGTTTCTATTGTGAATATAGATATTTACATTCACTTCTAAAATGATGTCGTTTTGGGTTAAAAAATTATAATGAGATTATTATAACTCTAAAATAAATTATAATTTTTGTCTCAAAATAATGTTATTTTGAGTTCAATATAGATTTATCTAATTGATCGCAGAAAAGTGAATCCTCAAAATATTCTTTTTATTTCAATTTATTTTTTATGAATGCAAACGTGCATTAAAAAGAATAATTATATCAAAATATATGATTGTTCCTAACTTTTAAGAGTTTCATTTTAAGAATATGAAAAAATTATTAGCTAATAGTTATTTACTGAATTACAGGAAAACATGATTCTTTTTATCTTATTTTCAAAACAAATTAAATATTTTTTAATTTGTGTTCAATGATTTGTCAATTAAAATTATTGAAACATGATTTGTCAAAACAATTTTAATGAATATCACTCCTTTTGGTGCTATGCTATCCAGATGCTCTATGTACTCTAATATTTTCCTTTTATTTTTTAATTCTCTATTGCATACATAAGATAAAATGATCAAGACTCAAGCAATCTGATTAATCAATTGTTGATATTATATTTTGTATCAATTAAGCATCCAACAATCAGTATTATTTATATTATCTTTCGAGAAATGGCGACTCTATGTGTGGAACTGGTTGGACCATGACCGAATTGGTTGGGAGGTCAAGTAGACTGGGTTTTAGACATTAGTTGCCGAGTATTATTAATTAATGAAAAAATGAAAAACAAACATTGGTAGCGGTGGATCTTCTAATGTGAAAAAGTGATCATGTTATTTGATCACAACTACTTATTGATGATAAAATAAACGAGAAAAAAATTATGATCACAATCACTTATTGATGATAAAATAAAAGAGAAAAAAATATATAATTTTTAAATGAGTAGTTGTGATCAAATAACATGATCATTTTTTCACATGAAAAGATTCACTCCTAATATTGGTTAGCTTCTTTAATAAGAGCATGTAATTTATAATCATTGACCGCCACCATAGCTGCCGCCTCCATTGTTTTCCGCCACTCTAACCTTTCCTACGCCAGTGAACTCCTCCGCCATGCCTACCAGGTTCCACATCCTTAAACACTGCTCTTATCAGGTTCTAATCCTCTTGAGCATCTGTTTATCAGAACTGTGTTTAGAAAGTTTCCATTCATTGTCAAGGCTGCACAGAAAATTTTAGACATTTGGGGTTTGGGGCAGGTGAGGTTAAAAAAAAAATATGGCAAGTCTAACAATTCGCACGTAGATGATCCATGAAGATACAAATGATTTGGCAAAGCTTTGACTTCATTTCTTAGCGCATATAAGACACCAATTCATCGTTATAGTGCACCAAAAGTATTGAAAGAAAATCATACAGGAATATGCAACAAAGAGAAATATTAACGGCACCACTCACACGATGTATAACGGCAATTAAAACACCATAACATTAATCATAAATTTTCAGATAAAATTAGATCGGTAGCAGTATCTTGTCCCACATACTAGGTTAGCTGTCGAACGGAGTGAGATCTTCACATATTAAGCAGATGACGTAGGTTATAGTCAGAAACTGTGCAAGCATCAGCAGAGGGAGACGTCTCGTAAGATTTGGCTTCGAGTATATGTCGCAGAATTAGCAGGTATCAGCGCCTCCTCCACTTGTCAATTATCATGAATGTTAACAGCAATAAATGTACATACAGGACAGAGCTTCATTTAATGCCAAAAGACAACGCATCAAACTATTCGGTGACTTTGTGTAGAGGTTTAAATCTTTAAAATGCATAAAACCCCTATAAGCACCGGCATAAATTGAGCAGCAGAAATAATTGAATCGACTCAGAATCATGATACATCCTGAAGAGCCAGATTCAACTCGTGCGCAGATTTTGCAATTGATCCTCCTCTTCTACAGGTTAAGGGACAACAAATAATGAGGAAATTAGCATGAGAAATTCTAAATCATCCTAAAATATTAGCTTAATAAACTTCATAATTACTTGATCAAGAAAGTACTAATGTTTATTGAGCTTTCCAAATATTAATGTTTTTACTTTATTTCACACTTTAATTAGAGGACTTAAGCTAATTATTTAAAAACTATTCAGCATTACTACATTAGCACTGCCAGAATCGGCTTAAATAAAAGGATAATGGTAAAAAAAAAGGGCAAATAAATAAACATGAACAGGTACCTCATAAGAGAAGGTAAAAGACGTTTGACTTTTTCAAGCTCTATAAAGCAGAGGTTGCAACGTTCTAGCCTGCACCTCATTAACAAGCAAAAAATAAATTGAATCGATATGCAATATACAAAAGTAAAAATAAAAATAAGAAAAGCCATGATGATCAATTAAAACCTTTTCTCTGCCTCAATATCAACACCAACGGAAGGTGTAGCTGATAGGGTTGAATAGATTACTGAACCAAATATTCTGACCAGTTTCAATAGCATTTCCAAGGATGTTCCTAGATATCTACAGATATATAAATATCAAAATTGTCAACATGGAACTAAATCTATAAAATTATAATTTATAAATGTAAATAAATAAAACACATCAAATTCCTCATGTTCTAACGTTAAGGGAAAATGAGTCAAGTGAGGCTTTCATAGCTGATCTAAACATGAAAATCCGAGATATGTTGGAAGTGATTATTTGAAGAATTTACAAGAAAAATAATCGAACACTATTGAAGGCAAGGAATCCGCAAGACATTACTTTTGCTATAATGGAGACAAATGACTTAATAGAGGCAGATCAAAACTTACATCAAACAAGAATCAAAACCAAAATACATAAGGCACATATATAATAAAACATGCAATAAGAGCCAAAGAGCTCATAGCTCAATTGACAGTGACACCAGCTCAAATAGACTAGGGTGCGATAAAGATGTCAGAGGTTGGATCCTGCATGAGGTCACCCGCTCTTCTCCACTACATAGGTCAATGTTACCCTCCCATTCCTCCACAAAAGTACATAAATAATGCCGCAGTGTGTCTTGTGTATAACTCAGCAATTATAATCCTATACATACATTAACAACTAACCTGTACTTTCTTCTGAGTAGGCTTCAAACATATCAGAGTTAAAATTTCCAACTTATTTTTGCCTAAAGACCAGTCGCAGTTTACATTAATGATTACTGATCAGTGTCACTCTCCCTGGCTCCCTTTCACTTAACCTTTTCTCCTTGGATATATTCCTTCCACTTTCACCCTCCACAAAAAACTAAGAAAAGCTTATCTTCTAGGGTTACTGCATAATACAGCTGGAGCACCTGATAAGCTGGTCTAATACACAGAAATTGAGAGAGAAAATATATCCAATAAACTTCAAACAAGGTGAATCATAACTTCTATCACCCGGCCCCTTCCTTCCAATCTCCAAAATGGCCTCCTGATTCCTGTTGTTTGGAATACCCTCTACACTGGTCTAATACACAGATTGAGAGAAAAATATTATGCAACGAAATTCGAACAAGATAAATCATGGCCTTTATTACCCATATGTTGATTATTCTAACCAGTCTTCCCTTCAATCCCTAAATTGGTCTTCCCCCTCATTCCCACAGAAAGCTGGTTATTAATATAATTGTTCTACTCACTAGTGTGGGTGATATTGAACACAAAAGAAACATTTCAAAAACCATATAGCTTTTTCGTTTTCTTTTTATTTTTCTCATTAGTGATTTTGATAAGCAAAATTTTATGCCCACAATATAATATCTGTCTAACACAATGCATGCTGCCTCGTATCAGATGGCAGAAGAGACAACACTTACCTATCCATTTCACTTTGTAGAAGGTCAGTTAGAAGTGGAAGAAGACCAGAGAATATTTCAAGTGTGACGATATCAATTTTTTCCATTATAATGCTAACAACATCAGCAATCACCTGGAATAAATACCAATAAGACTAAAGTATTATGAGGGTTTCGATATTTGCTAAAAAATGATTATTGCATCAATGTCGTTGATACCACAAAAGAGAACACAGAATAATATTGAGAAGCTGTAACGAGTAGTGTCAGAAAACAAACAACTCAAAATGCTCACAGCATGATCATCCATCTTCGCCATTGTACCGATGACCTCTTTAACACCATTTCTTTCCCAACATCTGAAGACCACCTGCAACATAATGCTTTCAAAGTTCAGAAAATTTATGAATGGCGGCAGGTTTGGTTCAGTTACCAAATTTCAATTTAACTTGGTCTAGGTAAAATAAAATTTTATTAAAGGATGTTTCTGAATAAAAACCATGTTCTCATTGTGCTTGTTCAGGAAAATCTCTCTGGGTCAGGCTGTGGATCCTTCAAACTTGATTAGGGACAATTTCAACTCACCAAAAGAAAAACTTGGTTCAAAATGGTTCAGCTGGTTGCAGTGATTTGGTATCTATGATTATAGAATCTCTAATATAATTTTTAGGGATAAATATTTTCCTTTCTTTTATGGGATAAAGTGGTCTTCTTAGGCTTAGCTTCTTTTGGTGCTTGACTAACAGCTATTTCAAAGGGTTTCTTCATTTGATATACAAAGTTATTAGATAGCATTGCCAAGTAGATTTTTCTTCTCCTTGTGCACTCCACTAACCACTTTATGCTTGTGGTATACTGTGAAAGGATAGTATCCTCTCCTGTTGTGTTTCTCTTCTCGAATAAAATTCTTCTCTTGTCAAAAAAGGAAAAAGAAAAGATGCGGAAGAACTTCATGTTCATCCAGGTTACATTCCTGCAACCCTGACCCGTTGAAATTTAGTAACATGCAAAAACTCTTGCTTATTATACATATAACACTAGGGCTGTGCATGGGTCAGGTCGGGTCGGATTTTTGTGCCGACCCGACCCAATTTAATTTTATAGGTCAAGTATTTTGACCCGACTCAGTTTAATTTGATCTAAGTCAGGTCAGACCCGATTTGAAATTTTTTTTTTGAACTGGTTCAGAACTGACTTGATTTGGTTTATGAAGTGGGTCTGACTTGGTTTCAAAATCGGATCAAATCCGACCTGACTTTCAAAATCGGGTCAAATCCAACCTGACCCACTTTTGACTTGGTTTCAAAACTTGTTTTTTATTTGATTTTTTTTATAGTTATTGATTTAATTTTTAAACTCAAGTAATTTAATTATTTATTTGTTTTAAAATATATAAATTATATAATAAATTTGATATTTGTTGAATAAATACCAATTCTTCAAAGAAAGTGCTAATATTACTATTTCATGGTACTAATCAGTGTCATGGGTAGCTCATTCTAACTCATAATTGATATTTGCAATTAGCAATTATCATGATTTTATTGGATCACTAAAAAGCTCCAAATTGATGATAAATTAAAAAAAAACAATCCAAACATAAAATTATCCCATAAAATATCAGCGTAAAGATTCCATTTCCATTTACTCAATGTAAGAAATTAAAATTAACAGATATTTACGAACAATTTCTGTAGTATGACTAACTCTTATTTAATCAACACTAGTGTCTGCAATCTATCCCATTTCTTGACTACCCCATGGAATCTTGGAGGCTTATAGCACATAAAATCTTCAGGTAGACAGAATAACTATTATCCTATCACATGTTGTATCAAAATTAAAGCCTATGAATTTGTAATCCCTTCTGGATTCAAAGTCACTAGATCACAAATATATTTTCACATTGATCTCCAATCACTCATATGATATGATCCAATTTCCCTCTCTACCATATTTGTGATAGTATTACTAAAATCTAGATCACACAAGTTACCTTCGCCCGTATTCCAACACCTCAACAAGCTTGTTTCCATTCTTATCAAGAGAAGAGAGAACCTAAGCCCCAAATTGCCTTACAGTGATTTTTGGTTTTTTTTTTTTTTTTTCACAAAATGGGTCTAGGTCAAGTTTTGGGTCAATGGGTCAATTATTAAAACAAGTCAAGTCTAAAACTGACCCAAATACAAATGATTCAATATTTAAACCAGTTCAAAAAAATAGATATTTATGGATCAGATCAAGGTCAGATCAAGAGCAGGGCAACTGAACCAATTTTTTTGCACACCCCTATATAACAGATAGCTAACACAGAAATCAACTAGTCATAAACTTATAGTCATAAATTCAAACATCAATACCTGTAACTTGGCTGAACGAGCCTGCATTGAACTGAGAAATTGATCATGTTGTTCCATCATATCAGCAATAGAATCTTCATCGCTAGCAGATATAGTGGCCTTCTCAGTGGATATGGAATGTGCTCTCTGTTTAACTTCGAGGGATAAGGAAATTACATTCTCCAAGGAAAACAAAACATGGGGGAAAAGCACACAAAAGCCAAAAGCAAACAAGTCTATCTACTCAATACAAATTGCTTCTAAATCCATTAACTCTCCAAGTTCAACATGATTGTCTTAACTCATTAAGATGTTGCAAAAACTTTGCACATAGAAATGTGAGTGTGGGGGAAAATTACTTATCATAGATATCTTTTCTTAATAAGAAAATTAAGAGAAACAAAATAAGTACAAAGAGAATCATCTTAGATCAACCAAAAGAGAAAAATGATAAAGCAAAAGAAATAAAACAAAGGGAAAATCCAGGTATCTCTAAATCAAATATAAACTGCATTCATTTAGGGTAATGGTAATAAGTTGATGTATAAGCAAAGTAAAAGCTACATTCTCTCTATGTGATTCTCTTAGAAATGAATTTCAGTAACTAATAGTACTTTTAAATAAAAAAGTTGTTTGGATGTTAAATTTAATAAGTATTTTTATGTATAAAATTACTAAAAAGGATGTGATGGAAGTGGTGGTGGGGGTGGGCGTGGATTGGAGCAAAATTAGATATTGAGAAAAATACTTCTCTTTTGGCTTATGCTTTTTTCAGAAGTCGGGAATCTTGGCTTAAAAATGCACCATTTTAACTTTTGTTTCAATTTTGCTCTTTAAAAAAAAAAAAAAAAAAAAAAAGTTGCATCCAAATGCACATATTAAATAAAAAGCACTATTATTTTGAAAAAATGATGCTTCTTAGTGAAAAAAGCTCATCTAAACGGGCTCTAACTTGCATGCCCTCCCCCAAATAAAGTTAATTTTCTGCACATTCTATTTTTTTTTGGATAAACTACAAGTATTCTCCACAGGAGGCAATCCTGTTCGGAGCGGGTCCAAGATTAAGGTTTTAAACCTCTCCCAAAGATGGTACTGGAGAGGATCAAACCCATTTTTTGCACATTCTTACAGAAGAAAGAATAGGTTTGAGTATACCACTATTTTTTTTCCTTTGTGTTCTTTGTTAAGTTAAATGTCTGTGAACAAAGTTATGATGCATTGATCATCATATCTAACATAAGGTAGAAGTAGAAAGGAAAGAAAATGATCATAAAAAACAATAAGTATAATACCCCACTGAACGGAAGCACATGAACTGATGATATCCTTCCATGAGAAATTCCTTGTCTAGGTCCCTCATAAATAAGAGACCGTTCCCTCTTTTCCAAATTGAGAAGTGGGCGCATTCTTCCTATATATTTTAAAGAGCATGAAATCAAAAAACCATTTAAATTAATGATAAAATCATCAACAATTTATACAAACAAAGATACCTCCTTTCTGTACATCGACAGAACATACATCTCTGTTCACTTTCTGGCCCCAGGCTTCATCTAGCACAAGAAGAACTCAAACATTAGTAACGTACCATCCAACAAAAGACATCCAGATTTTCACTAACAAATATTCATCAGTCATTATAACAACCACAACATGGTGTCATGGGCCTTCACACCTTTTTGGGCTTTAGTTTACTTTGGCAGCTTTAAGTTTATGTTTAGTCTCATTGTATCCTTGTGTTTAGTGTCTATATAAAAGCACACAGATCAAAACAGCTACGTAAAGAACACCAAATAAAGGCCATAAGCCCAAACCCTTCCCATATCAAGCTGAAGAGCATTGACACACCCCTAGCCATTTCTAACAATGGAATCACTTTGGAAAGTTTAGGCTCCCTGCAAGGCTAACACTTTGTCTAGAGACCTGTGCCTGACAAAATTATTAATAGCATCTTATCTTTAGATGTAAGAATAACTGAGAAAACAAGTCATCATTTCTCACAACATCCCATGTTCATGATGGCCTAAAGTATAAAACAAGAAGGGCATGCTAGAATATTTAAGGGTCAATATCTGTCACTGCAGTTTGATGCTTCTCTTCGTGGCACAGTAAACAAGTTTTTTTTTTTTCACTGGCACAGACATATCAAACAATCTATGTTTATCCTCAGAAAAACTACTTTCCATCTCAATACTTGTAGTATTTTCTTGTTGTGATTAACCACAGGAAGGCTTTCTGGCTCAGACACAGGAAATGTATCAACAGAGAATATAATTTCTAAGAACAACAGGAAATATTACCTTTCAAAGAACCAATTCACTTAAAAACTCAAATCACAAAGTACACAAAAAATGGCTTCATAAGGCAAGTAACACCACGCACATAAAAAGTTTGCTAGATGTAGTTAAAGCACATGCTCACAACTATGCTGTATTGAACCTTGGCGCTGTTCTACTGGTGGTGACAATCATACAATACATCTGTTCAAGTCATTAGGTTTAGATACTGTAAAAATAGTTCAGTATATATATAGTCCCACATCGTATGAGCTCAACCTATTAGGTCTTTTAGTCTCTTTAAATAGAGAGCTCTTGTACATTGTAATATACCATGTGATTATTCAATATACAATTATTCTTTAATCTCAAGTTGGTACCAGAGCTATTTCGTTCTAGGAACCCTCGCTTCCGCTTAGAAATCTTGTTCTTCGCTTTAAAACCTAAGCCCACTGCTTAGGAGTCATCTTTTCTTTGCCGTGCGTCCTTCCGGCAAGCCATCAAGGACTGTAAGTCCTCTCCTGCACGTGTCCACATCCCCAAACAGTCACCGGAGCCACCGTCAGCCACTGTTCAGGCTGCCGGAGTACTTTTCCGGCGAGATTTCAGTCTGGAACGAACGCGAACAGCACCCTCTCCTCCCGGCGACCTGCTCTGTGGAAGTCCGGCCACCATCGGAGTTGTCACGCGCTCTCACGCGCCTCCTGTCTTCTCTGCGCGTGGGCTTCACGCGCCACCTTCTGCCGGCGCGTGAGCACTATTCCGGCGGCTTTTTCCGGCCGTTCTTGGGCAGAACTTCTCGCCTTCTTCTCCTCTTTCCGGATCTGTGCTTGGTTCTTTGTGGGTCTCATTTTAGACGCGTGGTTCTCCTTGATTGGATATCGTTTGCCTTCGTTTACGACTTTTATATTCTGTTTTTAAATGGCAGCAGCGTCCACTGATCTCTCGGAGATTAACTCTCCTTGTCCTCCTGTCAAAACTTCCTCAGGAATCATCTCTACTAATATTGGGCCCATTACATCTTCCAAACTGAAGGATTCTACCTCTCTTGCTGCGAATATAGCTCAGTCAGACAATGCATCATTTGGTTCAGTTTCTCTCTCACTTGCGGACTGTGCTGCACTCCAAACTCTTCTCAAGAAGGCTTCTCCTCAGTCTCAACCATATACTGGTAATCCCGTTGCTTGTGTTTCTCATTCTACATCACTTGGCACTTGGATATTTGACTCAGGTGCTACCGATCATCTCTGTGGTAACAAAGAACTCTTTACATCTCTTACTTATTCTGATCATTTACCTTCTTTTACCCTTGCGGATGGAACCAAAGCCCCAGTTCGTGGGATTGGACAAGCTCGTCCGACCTCTACCTTGGCCTTGACATCTGTTTATTACATTCCTGGCATCCCTTATAACTTAATTTCTATTAGTAAGTTGATCCACTCCCTCACTTGCACCATCACTTTCTCTAACCATTCTGTTTCTGTGCAGGATCCGGGTACGGGAGAAATGATTGGAGTGGGTCGTGAGTCACAGGGGCTTTACTATCTGGATGTGCCTCGTCCTTCAGTGGCACTCTCTCTCACAGAATCTCCACAACTTATCCACAGTCGCCTCGGTCATCCAAGTATTTCAAAGTTGCAGAAAATGGTTCCTCTTTTATCCGGTCTTCAGTCTTTAGATTGTGTGTCATGTCAACAAGGGAAGCATACACGTTCCTCTTTTGCCAGTCGAGTCAATAAACGAGCTGATGCCCCTTTCTCTCTTGTTCATTCAGATATCTGGGGTCCAAGTCGTACCTTGTCTGTTTTAGGTTTTCGGTATTTCGTTACCTTCATTGATGATTTTTCCCGTTGCACTTGGGTCTATTTAATGAAAAATCGTTCTGAGTTATTTTCCATTTATAAAAAGTTTTATACTGAGATTCATATTCAATTTGGTGTTTCTATTCGTATTCTACGTAGTGATAATGCTAAGGAATATGTTTCTATTGATTTTTCTAATTTCTTGGCCACACAAGGTACTTCACATCAAACTACTTGTCCTCACACTCCACAACAAAATAGGGTGGCTGAACGTAAAAACAGACATCTCATTGAAACTGCACGTACCCTTCTTCTTCATATGCAGGTTCCCCTTCACCTCTGGGCAGATGATGTACTCATCTCTTGTTTTCTCATCAATCGCATGCCCTCATCTGTGCTCAACAATGACATTCCTCATAACCTATTGCTTCCAGATGTTCCTCTTTATCCTCTAACTCCACATGTCTTTGGTTGTACTTGTTTTGTTCATGATCTCACTCCTGGTAAGGATAAGTTAACATCCAAAGCCTTTCAGTGTATCTTTCTTGGTTATTCTCGTCTTCAAAACGGTTATCGTTGTTATTCTCCCGACCTTAAGCGTTACTTAGTTTCCGCTGATGTCACTTTTCTTGATTAACAACCCTTTAATTCTATTCCATCTCAGTTGTCACAGGTTGATCATGTTCTTCTTGTCCCTTTCCTTGACTTGTCTTTGCCAGCTGCAGGTGCTTCTAATCCAAATGAGCAACCTATTGCTTCTATACCTGAGAACCGTCCACTTCTCACTTATCAGCGTCGCAAAACTGTGCCTCCTGTCGACTCGACTCTTGCTGACTCATCGCCCACTGTTGTTGCTTCTTCCTCTCCGGATCCTTCACCAGAGACTCTTCCCATTGCTCAAAGAAAAGGTACACGTACTACTCGTAACCCTTATCCTCTTTATACTTTTTTGAGCTATGACCGTCTTTCTTCACCTCATTTCACCTTTGTTTCTAGTCTTTCTTCTATTTCTATTCCTAAGACCACAGGTGAAGCACTTTCCCATCCAGGGCGGCGCCAAGCGATGCTTGATGAGATGACTGCACTTCATTCCAATGGCATCAAAAATGTCTTTCTTCATGGTGATTTACAAGAAGAAGTTTATATGGAGCAACCACCGGGTTTTGTTGCTCAGGGGGAGTCTGGGAAGGTGTGTCGTCTTCGCAAATCCTTATATGGTCTCAAGCAGTCTCCTCGGGCATGGTTCAGTCGCTTCAGTTCTGCTGTTCAGGAGTTTGGCTTAATTCGCAGTAAAGTTGACCACTCTGTGTTTTATAGGATCACATCTCCTGATAAGTGCATCTATTTCTTAGTCTATGTTGACGACATCATCCTCACCGGGAGTGATCAAGCTGGAATTTGTCAGTTAAAACAGTATTTATTCAGTCAATTTCAGACAAAGGACCTCGGGAAGCTGCGTTACTTCTTGGGAATTGAGGTAGCACAATCTAGACAGGGCATTTCTATCTGTCAAAGGAAGTATGCCTTGGATATCCTAGAAGAGACTGGTATGTTGGTGTGTAAGCCAGTTGACACACCCATGGATCCTAGTATCAAATTACTACCCGGACAAGGAGAACCATTATCTGATCCTGGACGTTATCGGAGTTTGACTGGGAAGCTCAATTATCTCACTGTGACTAGGCCGGACATTTCTTTTGCTGTTAGTGTCGCTAGTCAGTTTCTTGATTCTCCGTGTGATTCTCATTGGGATGCTGCTGTTAGGATCCTTCGTTACATCAAAGGAGCACCAGGGAAAGGTTTATTATATTCAGATCAGGGAAATACAGAAATTTGTGGTTATTCAGATGCCGATTGGGCAGGATCACCCTCGGATAGGCGCTCTACTTCAGGCTATTGTGTTTTCTTTGGAGGAAACCTGATTTCTTGGAAAAGTAAGAAACAAACTGTTGTTGCCCGATCTAGTGCAGAGGCCGAATATCGTGCAATGGGAGTTGCTACCTGCGAGCTAATCTGGTTAAAGCAGTTGATTCGGGAGCTCCATCTTTGTGAACAGAAGAAACCCATGACTCTCATTTGTGACAATCAAGCTGCACTACATATATCCTCTAATCCTGTATTTCATGAGAGAACCAAACATATAGAGATCGATTGTCATTTCATTCGCGAAAAGATTCAGTCAGGAGAAATCAAAACGGAATTTGTCAACTCCAATGATCAACTCGCGGATGTCTTCACTAAAGCTCTTAGGGGTCCTCGGGTTGAATATATTTGTGGCAAGCTGGGTGCTTACAATATATATGCTCCAGCTTGAGGGGGAGTGTTAGAATAGTTGTAAAAATAGTTCAGTATATATATAGTCCCACATCGTATGAGCTCAACCTATTAGGTCTTTTAGTCTCTTTAAATAGAGAGCTCTTGTACATTGTAATATACTGATGAAAAGAAAGAGTGTTTTTCTGTATAACACTATTGATTGATTACATTGAGAGACCCAATAGGTCCTATTTATATTGAGTACAAAGAACAATGCTAATAAATAGCAACAGTAAACTAAGAGGCTTATTTACAATAACAAGAGACATTAATAAATAAGGGAACAAATAGCAAGGAAGTAATAAATGATAATCTAGAATATTCTACACTCCCCCTCAAGTTGGGAGATATATATTGATCATTCCCATCTTGCTGATCAAATCCTCAAAGGTCGGCTTAAGTAAACCTTTGGTGAGAATATCTGTCGTTTGTTCCTTGGTAGGTATATATGACAAGCATACACTACCGTCTTCTAATTTTTCTTTGATAAAGTGACGATCGACTTCCACATGTTTTGTTCTGTCATGATGGACAGGATTTTGAGCAATGCTGATAGCAGCTTTATTATCACAATATAATCTGATAGGTAGGGAATAAGAGATCTTCAACTCTTCCAGAAGCCTTCTTAACCAAATTCCTTCACAAATACCATGGGCTAAAGCCCGAAATTCCGCTTCTGCACTGCTTCTTGCAACAACAGTTTGTTTCTTACTTCTCCAGGTCACAAGGTTTCCCCAGACATAAGTACAATATCCTGAAGTAGATCTTCGGTCCATTGCAGAGCCAGCCCAGTCTGCATCTGTATAAACTTCAATCATCCTTTTGTTCCCCTTTTTAAAGAGAATTCCTCGACCAGGGGTGTTTTTGAGGTACTTGAGAATTCTATAAACAGCACTAAGGTGTTTTTCCTTAGGAGAATGCATGAATTGGCTAACCATGCTCACAGCAAAAGCAATATCAGGACGAGTGTGAGACAAATAGATTATTCAATATCCTGAAGTAGATCTTCGGGATAATCAATATCCAGCAAAAGCAAAAGCAATAGCAAGGAAGTAATAAATGATAATCTAGAATATTCTACATATACCATGTGATTATTCAATATACAATTATTCTTTAATCTCAAGTGATACAAAAGATCTGTTGATAGTGTGTTAAAAAATACCAACCTAATTGTACTACTTATATTAATAATTAGGTCAACTACTATTGTAGAATTTGTAGTATTACAAGTACAAGCCCAAGCAGACTAATACAATAAGACTACCAACCTAATAAAATAAGGAAACAATGCCTATGATTGCTTGCTAATTTAGATAATTAATTGATTCCATAATATATTCTAGAGATCTTTTAAGATATTCAAAAATATTATAAGATGCACTGAAGATATTCTAAGGTATTTTGTAGATATTCTATCAAGACCATTTGCTCAGTCAGGTTTCAATATTATGTCAAAGAACAACTTGACCTAAAAGTTTAAGTTGTTAAGTACGGACTTGAACAATTGTTAAGACACTAAAAATAAAAGTTACAATTAAATAGATTACGATTATAAAGCGTATTGCATGAATATCACTTATTGGAAAACAAGCACAGTTGTGGATAAAGGATTTGTACAAAACTTTAATATGATTACTAGCGGTCGGCTTTGTGAATTTATTGAATAATTTCCAATTTCAAGACATCTATCATAGTTTAAGCCTGTCTTAGAAGGAGGAATACCTTGAGTTGAGCTCACAGAAGCAGGGAAATTATTTTTATCTGCAAAACCACTTAATTCACTACCCTTAGAAGCCGCAGATTCAGTCACAGGAGAGAAAGGTGGCTTATCCACATCATCTCTGTTGTTCGCAAATTTACGTATATCTGCTGCCTTTGACTGCAAAGAGAATGGCATTATTCTTCCAGCAGCACCAACTTCTTTTCTAGAATCAGCTACAGGCTCTGACCTCATGCTAGTTCTGGGGACGATTACAGGTATAATTTCTGATTTATTGATAGGAGGAATATTGGATGTTGCATGAGATTTCAAAGAACTCCTTTTCTGAGCTGTTGCATTAAGCACTGCTGTTGAACCACCAGATACTGTTTTGGGACCAGAGTTCAAATTGATCCTTTGAGGAGTACTTGGTGCACTTCCTGTGGCTTCATGCAATCCATAAGTCAGGTGATGAGAAAGTATGGATATTAATGGACAAGAGGATCCAAATGGATCAAAACAAGAGAAGGATTAAACAGACAATTCAATCTAAACAAATGCTAAAAAAGATTAAAAAAATTATAGAAAGAGACAGGATATATACACGCCAAATATTTGCCCTCCTTCAAGGGGTCTGAATCTTGAGAAACTGACAACCTCCCAAGAGAACTTGTTTCTTTCAGTAAGGGATCTGGATTTTGGGAAACAGATAGCCTAGCCTTAGCTGTGATCTCATTCAGCACAGTCATATTTCCACTTGAAGATTTAGTTTCTGAATGACCATTCAGTGGATTCACATTATTAAGAGCATATGGTTCTATACGCTGGAAAAGAGGTCAGAAATGTAAAAAAGGAACATTAGCATTAAATAGTATCAAATACGACCATTACTAGAAGCAGCAAAACAATTTCTGAAAGATAAGTGCATCTACCGAGATGTCTACAACCCAGACTCCAACACAACTTTGATTGTATGAGCAGCCAAGAAGTTTTCCTTCATGAACATTAAGATCGGACAATCTAGACCAACCCACATCCACCATATCATAGCATCTTATGGGTTCCCAAGAGAAAACCTAAACAGAAACAAATGGAACATTGTTACCTTGATAAATGATTTCCTCCTACAAATTGACCAAAAACGGAGCTTACCTTCAAACTCTCATGTAAACCACAAAGCAGGGTCCTCCCATCAGGACTGAAAGTAAGAGAACGCACTCCAGTTGTCTAAAGTACAACAATACAAAATACTTTAGATTTTTTTCCAAAAAAACCAAAATTAACAACTTCAGTAATATTGATACTAAACTCAACCATCCAGGAGGAAATAGTGAAATTGCTATAACAGAAAGTACCTCAGGACCAGCTGAACCAATGAGCTCAAAGGTTTCAAGGTCCCAAAATTTAACAGTCCTATCTGCAGAGCCTAGACATGGGAAAGAAACGAATGAAATAAAAATTACACTTGATTTCATTCATTTAAACAAAAAACATAAAAGCTTCCATAAGAAAACGACACAAGAATCCAGCAGTGTATGTGAGGTGATCACCATAAAAAAAAAATGAAATAGAAATGTCAACATCTATTATTATTCATTTATTTTATTGATAAGGAAATTTATTAGTGTTAGAATATTAGGGTATCCTTTGTTATGTAGTATTATTGTGTTCAGTAAGCTATACTGTTTTAGCATGGGGAGTGTTATTGACTGGGATTGAACTAGTTGATAGACACTTGTACACGACCTAGATTATTCGTGTAAGTGCATGTTTTGTTCGAATTAATTTTTCAAAAGCTTTCTCGGTAAGATTTTAATTATAAACTATTTTAAAGGCAAAATAAACTAATCCATAACTCACGGGGCAAAAACTCAGTGTTATACATCACAATTATAAGAGTCCCATTGGTGAATTATATTCTCTCTTTTCCCAGTGATCTAATCATATAATTTTAAAATGGTATGTGTTAGAATATATTGTAATTATACAATACCAGGTGAATAAGGAAAAAAACAATTCATTATTATAAATAGAACCTTCGTGTGGTATGATCAGACACACAATTCCACAACTTCAATTGTATAAAAGAAATGGCACCATCCTCCGTAACATGGTCCGTTCATTGTTTTTGCTGTAGAGTTCCAAAGTTTGGAACTCCCTTTGTTTTTAGTTCTCATCCTTCACTTACGGAAATTTCCTTCAATACTAGTCAGAATTTGTTAGCGTAAGCTTCCAATTCTTGTGGAAGAGTAAAGAGGATAAAGACCATAAAGGCTCTTTCTTGTTGCTTATTGTGCTCAAAGTGATCCTTTTTGTGGGGTGTCATGTCCACAAATTCTTGCATCATAGATCGTGCTTTGGCAAGGAAAGCTTCCATGCAAGTGTCTTGCTGTTTGTGCAGGCTTCTCAAACCATAAACAATGGAATAGGGTCATTGTATGTCAGTTTTGGGCTTCTTGCAGGCCACATAGTATGTCTCAAATGGTCAACTATCTCAGGGTTAATGGTTGTAAAGAACCAATTCAACCCAAAAACTTAAGCTGTTGGGTGAGGCTACATTAATGATTTTATATATCTCAACACGCCCCCTCACACGAGAGCCCACTGGACTTGAAGGGTGGACAATGCACAGGCCCACCTACCTGTGCGAAGAAAGAAATTCCACAAGAAAGAAAGTGGGGGGCGGTGAGGATCGAACCCGGTACACTGAGGCTCTGATACCATGTAAAGAACCAATTCAACCTAAAAGCTTAAGCTGTTGGGTGAGGCTACATTAATGATTTTATATATCTCAACAATGGTCTACCACACAACACTCAAGAGTTATAGATCAATCTTCTTCCAAGCAAAGAGGTCAAGACATAGTCACTAATCGCATTCCGCATTAGAAATAGCAGCCTCAAGGCACCATTTTTCGTGAAGCGAAGCTACCATTTTCGGCAGCAAAAACAGCAGCCACAACTGCAGCCTAATTGCGCCACTGCACGGAAGAGGGGTCAAATTCCATATTTGCCTCTATTTAGTCGGTGGCTTAGGCCTTTATAAAAAGGGCACAATTGACTTTTTGCCCCCTTTTTTTCTTCTTATTGTTAGAATATATTAGAATGTATATAATATTAGAAAGCATATTGTTTTGTTAGTCTCACGTCAGTGAGGGCCCAAGCCTGTGTTCTATTATTATAAATATAAGTCTTGTGTGATCATACTAAACACAGTATAATTCCTCAATTCTAAGTTGTTGAGATATATAAAACCATTAATATAGCCTCACCCAATAGCTTAAGCTTTTGGGTTGAATTGGTTCTTTACATGGTATCAAAGCCTCGTGTCCCGGGTTCGATCCTCATCGCCCTCCACTTTCTTTCAAGTGGAATTTCTTTCTTCGCATAGGTAGGTGGGCTTGTGCATTGTCCACCCTTCAAGCCCAGTGGGCTCTCGTGTGAGGGGGCGTGTTGAGATATATAAAACCATTAATATAGCCTCATCCAATAGCTTAAGCTTTTGGGTTGAATTGGTTCTTTACATAAGTCTTATTACTATCCCAACTTGAAACCACATCTATACTATTGATTCCGACCTCTTTCTCTCTCTCTCTCATTTTCATCTCTTGCCTTTGTCCTCTCGGTTTTCTTAAGCCCATAAGCAAGGCTCGACAAAACCCATCAACAAGGCTCAGTTTTCCAGCAGTTTTCCCTTTTGTTTTGACTTTTTGAGACTCTCCACTCGATTTCTGGCAAGCCCATCAGCAAGGCTCGATTTTCCGGCAAGCTCCTTTCAGCAAGAATTAGTTTTCCGACAAGCTTATTGACCCAGCAATTTTCTTCCCCGATTTGCAGCTTTTTAGCAACATATTTTAAAACCAAACAAATTTGCTCTGTTTTGCTGCGATAAAATAAAGAACGAGCACCCACTATCGAACAAGCTCACTCAAGTTTTCACCTACTAATGTGGACGTCATTGTAGCAGCTATATCGCTACCCTTTATAGCATTTTTCAGGGTCAGCCGCTACCCGCCATTGATAACTATGAGATCAACCTATCAACCATCCTCAACCTTTTTGGTAAGAAGTTTTGACTTGCCCTACCCTGCAAACCAAATTTACACAGAAGTAGTCCAGGACTTATAAGTGGCCAATCTAGTCAATTCCTTTGACGTGGGCTGGACATTAACATTGGTTAGCATAGTAAAGTTTTTGGTGGCCTAATATTAGAGTACATAGAGTATATGGATAGCATAGCACCTTTGTTTCGTGTGTTGTATCAGATGCCATTTAGCAATGCCTCTTCAAATTTTGTCTATGATTGTCAATTTCCTATTATCTCCAATTACGTGTACTCTTTGTGGTGCTATTTCCTAGTAGATTGATACAAACTCAACCCAAAGTAAAAGTGAAAAGACTAAAATTATATTGATATAGTTGAATCTAGACCAGACCCAAGATTTTCATTACACCAGTATCAAAATCAGACTAGAAAAATTCCAAAATACAAAAATGTAAATGAATAGAAAAAAGAAAGAAGAAGCAAAAGCCAAGCTATAGAAAATTGGAAATTGCCTTGATTCTCTACCATGTCCCAAGGCTAAATTCCTTGATTCCCTTCTGTGATGCCATTCTCTCTTATATATTTTCATGATACAGCCCCTAAAGAATCCCACTCATCATATTCTAGCATATTCCACCACCTCTTCTAACAGATTAGTTAAGCCACTTTTGATTCCTTGTGGCCACTCCTACGGTACTCATTGCCACGTTTCTAACAATACTCCTCCCTACACTTTCACCTTGTCCTGAGATTATCACACAAAACCATAGGGATGGATAAGGGAAATTAAAGTTCTCGAAGAAGGATTGTATCCAGAGAATCTTTGCACATGTGACTGCCAAACTTCTGCATTCAGCATCTGTGCTAGAGCTCACAACAAGCTCCTGTCATCAGGGTCACTAGCCCAATCAACATCTTTATAGGTTATGAGATGAGTGGATGATGGGAATTTGGACATTGTAGCACAAGACCAAAGGTAGATCTTCCCCTAAGATATCTCATTACTTGTTTGACAACTTTCCAATGATCATCAAGAGGCTAAGATATAAACTGGCAAACTTTGTTGACTGCGTAACTGATCTCGGAACCATGTCTGGACAATTTGGAGCTAGATGGCATAGGAGTAGCTATGCTCTAATCTTAATGCATATCTGCCTGAGCTAAAAGGTAGTTGACATGTAACACCAAAAGATGACCTCTTAACTTAAACACCAAGACAATATTCGAGATCTCCCAAATCCTTCTGATCAAATTTTGAGTGAAATTGTGAGATAAGTTGCTGAATAAACATATGATGATATCATCTACATAGACAAGAATGTAGATGCATTTTTGCTTGTCAGAAAAGTGAACAATGAAGGATCACAACAGCTAGAACTGAACCTGAGAAGGAGTAGAGACTATTTGAGCCTGTCAAATCAAGCTCTGGGTGCCTTCTTGAGGCCATATAGAGCCCCAATGAGCTTGCAAACTAGACTTTTATCAGAAACTTTAAAGCTAGGAGGCTGATACATATAAACTTCTACCAAGTCACCATTTAGAAATGCATTTTTTACATCAAGTTGTCTAAGTGGCCAGGCAAGAGTAAGCATAATTCATCTGTAGTTAGACCGGGTACCATAAGAATTATATATATATATATATATATATATATATATATATATGTATGTATGCATATATATATGTATGCATGTATATATGTATGTATGTATATATATGTATGTATGTATATATATGTATGTATGGCTCACAAGCTAATGTGTGGAAAAGCTTTGCTTGCAAGCTCATGAGCTAGCTCGATAATTTCCAACCCTTGAGCTTATCAAAAACAACTTTTGAAACCCAAATAAATTGTTTTGGGCATATATTCATAAGGTACAAATTAAGACTTATGAAAACAAGTTATTGAGAAAGCTAAAAACAGCAAAGGTGGTAGCTGTTATTATAATAATTCTGACTAGATTAACCTTAATGAATTGTCAAAATTCCATTCCTGCATAAGTACTTCTCAAAGCGCATATCCAAACAAAATTTAGCTTATTTTAGACCACATTTATGAAAATATAGTTTATTTAATAAATTCTACTCATATAAGTACTGATCTAATCTGTTTATCCAAATAGGGCCATGATACTTTCCCAGCAACACCTAGTGAAACATAATGTTACTATCATGGGAGCAAGAGAAATGGAAGACTTGCTTGTTAAGGTACTGCTTTCATGATTTCATTAGAAAAGTAAGACTAACCTGTTGCTAGTAGAAATTCACTGGGATGAAAATCTATACACTGGATCTGGCCCTCATGACCCTTAAAATCATGCAAGAGCTTTCCTGCAGTCAGATCCCACAACTGCAAAAGTATACAAAATAATTTACATCAAATAAAAAAAAATAGATTCTCATTCACATGGTAAAGTGTAGTAGAAACCATATAGGCCTATTTATATTAATCACATTCCATAACAATACCAAGAAGATAAATATACTGCAAACTATGCACTAAGACTGATGAGTCAAGAACTTTACAGGCTTTCAAGAAGCCACATACTGAAGCCACTAGTCAGTGAAGACTAGATAACTCAATTCAAAATATTATGACAGATGAGTTTGATTTTTTTATAGAAAAAAATATTTGATTGGATAGGAGAGAGAAAACATACGGGTGAGAAGCGAGGACAATATATCCTCCAAAACAAGGTGAGCAAAAAAAAATGGGACAAAAAATAATAATAAGTAGACTCAAGAATGAAGCAAGGCTGCCCAATCTCTCTACATGTAAGTAGGAGCAAATCCATGAAACAACCATAAGCTGAACACCAATTAGAGGGCAATAAACAATCCTATCCTACAGCAAGTTTATGGCAAAGGAAAAGACATCATTCAAAATAAATGCAAGCATTCCCCTCCAACCAAATGCACCAAATGACTGAATAAACAGCAACAACCACAAAGTTTTAGCCTCCTTATTAGTGTCAAACCCTTCATGAAGGCTGTGCAAAATTGAGGGACACATTCCATGTTCACCAAGAACCCCAAAAAGATTGTTTCAAAGGAAAGTGGCTGGTTTACAATGCAAAAAATTAGATGGTTTACAGTTTCTGAGCTGGTTCTTCACATAATACAAATATGAGAAGAATGAGGCTTGTGAGGCCTCTAAATTTGGAACCTCGCCGATAGTAATCTTGTTCCAGTACTACTTTCTGAATAAGACTTGACCTTAGAGCAAGCTTTGGAATCCCAAATGAGTGTATCAAGAAGCAATCTTAAAATATTTCAAGAGGAGGATAGAAACTGAAAGAAGTATTTAACAAATAAAAAATGTTGCCAGAAGAATTCAAATTTCAAACTATCCTATCTGAATTCATAGAAAAATAAAAAAAAAAATTGCAAGACGTGACAGTGGCAGAGGATCATTGCATGAAAAAAAACAAGAAGAATCCAAGTTCCAAATTATCATTTCTTGATTAGAAGAAGTTTTGCACTCCGAATCCAAGTGTATAAATTCACAACAACTTAGATCCACTCAACTATTTGTTGTGCTATATGTGCACGGTTTGCAAGCACAGATGGAGAAAATCAAAGTGAGTTCCTTTTTTATATATAAGAACTTCGTTTAAAGGAAAGAATTACAAGAAAGAAGGTGGATGAGGATTCCCCCTGAAATAGAAGTATAGAACACCACCAAAACTAAAGCAAGACAGAAAAATTACTAATAGAAATTAGCTTTCCATTCCCTCTGCATGTTTGACAAGGAAAACCCTAAACAAAATAATGTGAAGAGCAACAAGAAGACAAAACCAATTCTAGTCCAAAGCAAGTCTAGCAGAAAGGATTTTCCCAAAAAGTTCTAAGCATCCCTGTCTGACCAAAGACACCAAAACACTTTTCCCTCCTTATTTCTGTCAAAGCCTCTGAATTTGAACAATAAGAAATGCTCCTTATTTCTAGTCCCGCTGTAAACCCTTCAATGAGACCATTTTACATCCCCCTAAAAAGCAGCCAACTCAAGAAATCTACAACTCAGGTGAAAAGAAACGAAGGAAAAGGGTCACCTTGCATATCATACTAAGATTATATTCCCATTCACACTCAGTGAAGATGTGCCCACAATAGAAAACACTCAAACAGTGAGCAACTATATACCTAGAAGGTTGCAAATCCAACAATGAACAACTTAAATTCTTACTTTATCTTTACTACCACTTGTATACTCTCAAAGTATCATGTTTATTATGTTCACCCTGTCGATTTCTTCTCTTACTGAATAAACATTTCATATTCCAAGCATAATGATCATTATAGTATACATTTGAACTTGCTCTTTATTTTTAAGGGTATCATCATGTACAAATCTTGATGCATTAAGGGTTTCAACCTCATATTCATTACATCCTCCCAACATGGACGAAGCTTGAACTGCAGTTCTTAATTATTGTTATTTGAGATGAAACATGGGACCATATATGGTTCAACAAACATAGATCATAGAGAAGTATAAATTGTTTATGTGATTGATCATAATAACCTTGTTATGGAATCTTGACTCCATTAGTGTCATGAAAAAGGAAAGCAATTCTAACCTTCACAGTATTGTCCTCTCCACCTGAAACAACCCAGCGTCCATCTGGGGTAAACCTAATTGCATTTACCCCTCGAGTGTGGCCCTTGTAAGTATGGATACAACCCTTCTTTCTTATGTCCCATATCTTAAGATTTGTGTCTAGAGAACCAGATGCAAAGAACTCTCCAAAAGGATGGAAGTCCACCGATGTACAGTTGGACCTATGACCAGTAAGAGTACGAACAACTACCAAAGAAACATAGCAAGTCAAAGGCTAAATTTATCAGATGAGCAAAAATGTTATAGTAAAGATAATTAAGTTTTATGAGAATACTCAGATCTCTTTTCATTAGTGTTTTAAAATCATTAAACGAAATGGCAAGTAACAGCATACTCTTTGCCTCCTCTAAGTCCCAAAGTTTGATAGTACCACTTGCAGCTCCAGCAGCTACCAACACTTCAGAGGAATCAAAGCTTACAGAATCTATTCCACTCGAATGTCCTGACAAACTCTGCAAAAGGAGAAACGGCTCTTACTGAAAACAGATAAACAAATAGATTTTCCTTTTCTGTTAAAGGAATAAGTTTCTATACATATAAGACAGACAAAAGTAAATAAGCAGACGATAATAGTATCATCCCTTAATATCCCAAGAAAAAAATACCAAAACGCATCAAGACAATCAACCAAACACTGGTCCCCAAGGAGACATTCCAATAGTTGAGTACCCCATCAAACGAACACCATAAAGATGCCAAAAGACAACAGAACAAGGGGATATATTTTAGGCTTAAAATTTTTGGCATGTTTACATTTAATCCCCAACCAACTACACCAAACCCCAGCATACTCACAAGATCCTGCCTGCCCATTTGCTCTCTAAACATCTAAACTGAATGATCAAGAACTGCACAAAGTTCTCAGGACATACCCACATCTAAAAACATGTAATTATTGGTTTTAAAGAACATAGTCCAAGATGCACACATGTCAGGTGGCAGATACACTACACATATTGTTCATATGCATATAAGAACAGAAATAAAAATTATCTAAGAACAACCCTTAATAACAAATAGAAATGATGATGATATGATGACACATTTAATATAGCTGAACTCAATCCGATGCTACCTTGACAAGAAGTTCACATATAGAACCATCCAAACACCATTTTTCTCACATTCATTACTCACTAGTTATTCCAACAACTTCAAACAATTAAAAGTGAAATCCAAATGTGAAAGGGCATGAAAAACTCAACATAAGAAAAACCGTAAAAAAATATGCATATGAACAATGACATGAAACCCTTTAAATTTTTATCCAGAGTAAAACTACGAAAGATAAAACTAATAATTCAGATGCAGCTAAAAAAGATCAGGAGAGGAGAACGAACCAGTATAGCATTAGGTTTACCAATAGCCCAAAGATTAACCTTGTGATCTTCACCTCCAGTGACAAGAACCCTGGATGATTTCCTCCCAATTTTGAGGCAATTGACAGAAGAAGCATGTGCTACAAATTCCTCTGGACAAAATTCGTCAAGGCCAACTAACTGATCACTTGATGCCAGCAAGTTACAAATATAAACACAGGGACGGTAAAAGCATAACAAAGTAAGCAAAGGAGAGAGATCTACAGAGGGAAGAAAAAGTGAATGACCCGAAAATTGAAGGACGAGTGCATAGATCAAACAAAATGTAAACGGACATGAAGGATACGTAGCTTGTAGGCGCGTTTGGTAGTCATCGGCAAGCAGTACAGGAATCGAAAAACCTAATAATTGCAATTGCGACAGTAACAGCTGCTCTCTATTTGAGACATTCGAGAGATCTAATTTGGTCCTCTAAGATTCCCAGATCTTCACTACCCACACCAGTATCAGCTGCTCCAGAAAAAATATAACAAAAATAAATGTTTGTGAATGGTGTTAAAAATTTTAACTTAGTGGTTGCACCCAAGCCACGGATCAAAACGAAGAAAGAACAGAAAGAGTGAAACTGAAATAAAACAAAGACCAACCTAACCTGTATTTTAATTCTTGTTCTTTTTTGGTAAAGCGAGGTTGGAGAAGAGATTGCTTCAGAGTTCAGACTATACGAGACGAACAAGTAACTCAGAAACATTCACTTTTGCCTGCTCTTGTTTTACTTGCTCTGCTTGTTGCAAATTTAGCACGCGCACGCAAGCAGAGTGTGTTGCATAAGCATGAAAGATTTAGGTGCCAAGCGCAATGCTAATGCCACCGAAGCATGGAGCGAGTGCTTCAGTTTCCTCCTCTGCTACCAATCCAACAGCACCACCGCATTTGTTTGAAGATCTGTGCGAGACCAAAGCCCAGGGTAGGACAGCAAAGAAGAGAGTAGAGGGGCACTTTCACGATCTGTGACTGTCCTTCGCCAGTGATAATGTTTATGTTCAAATTAATCTGAGAGTGGGAAGGCTCAAAATATAAATATGAGAAAAATGAGAGGAAATTCTGTAAATACATGAAAGCTAAGATACACGTTTTAACCTTTCTACTTGCCTTTTTAAGTTGTAACACTTTTTCCTCCCTCCCTCGGCAAATCAAAATTGAAAGGACCACACGCAACAAAACTCATCTTCTTAGCTTCTTATGGGCTCTATCGACCTTTGCGATCTTTTCTTACCTTCTTTAATCATTGATTTCGGAGTCACAATCACAAATTGATTAAAGGGATCTATTTTTTAAAGCATTGTTTTTGGAAAAAAAAAATCCATTCATATTCAATTAAGATTTTAAATGATTGAAAAAAAGTCACATGTTATTTGATTAAGATTTTAAAAGATTATTTTAGAGTCTGTCCAAATCCATTGGTATTCAATTAGAATTTTAAACAAAGAAAAAACAATAACATGACGATTTAATAAATTTTCTATTGATTTGAATTTTAAGACTTTTTAGTGAGAAATATAAAAAGTGTGTTCGGTAGAGGAGAAAAAAAATTATCAGGAAAATACATTTATTAGGAATATGGTGGAAAAATGAGTTTGGGAGAAAAGTTAAAAAAAGTTGTTTGGTAGGCTGAAATATTATCGAAAAAATTGATATAAGTTTTAAGTCTATATTTGATTGAAGGTAAAATATTGTTAGAATCATGGGTGTAAATTACTAAATTACCCTTTTAAATTTTGAATCTGAATCACAATGGCTGGAATAGTGTTTTCTCGAACAATCATTTTCCTGTTAACCCTAAAATACCACCTTCCATGTGGTTTTCTGGAACAGTGTTTTTTCATGAAATTTTGCAAAACAAATCATAATGGCTGGGCAAAGGATTTTCATGGATAAATTTTTTTTAATCTTGTACTAAATATGGTCAAGTTGAAATACCAATGGAAGTTGCCTAGGTATCTACAAGAAAAACACTACCAAACACCTCCTTAGGATTCCTTGAGATTCCTCTATTACAGTATCTTCTTCTTCCTTTGACGGGTTGACTCGCTCGAATTCGAGTTCCACCATGGGAGTTTCATCAAAGCTCAAAAGCAACAGATTTTTGAGTGATTTTTATCACAAAACAACTCACAAACAACAAATCAACAAGATTCTAATATAATCTATATAAAAAATTGCATATTTTTTAGCAATTTTTGAGAGCTTTTTAAAGTTTCAAAAATTATTTTTCAAGCTTCGAGTCGCAATTTTTCTTGGCACAAAAGATGTGATTTTTGTATTAAAAACAACATAAAACAGTGGAAAAATAACAGCGGAACTAAAACCCTCAAATTAATTTTCGTTTTACATCAATAAAGTAATATCAATTTAAAGAAAATTGAAATTTTTATAATATGGACCCTAATTCCTTCGCTATAGGAAATGATTTCAAACAATTTTTGTGTCAATAGATAACTAAAAAGTTATTTTTCAAAAGCCCCAAAGTAATTTAAAGTTTCAATGTATTGATTGAAAATGATTTAAGAAATTTTCTAAACTTTCATGTAATAAAACCCAGAAATTTAGATTCGAAATCTTCTTATAATACTCAATGAAAACATGCATATGATATATGGTTAGAAAATTCTCATCACGTAGAACAAAAACTCCAAGATTTCTAGGATCAATTGCAAAATATTCCAAACGAAATTTTATCATGAACTTTAGGTTCTATATGCAAATTTAGAATTATTGTTATAAATAAAAAATTAGTTCTTATAATAATATATGCATAGCTCTGATACCAAATGAAAAAGATAATTCTCAATCCATTGGTCAAACCTAAGAGCAGGAACGAGAAAATATTAATGCGTGGAGGACTAGTATAACTTTAGATATGTGGAGAGCTGTTGTTTAGTAATTTTGAATGTTTGTTAAAAATTATATTATGTTTTACTGATTGGGAAAATCATATTAGGTTTTACTTTTTTGTATCAATATCATTGCATTTCTTTGTAAAAAATTTTATTGACTCTTGTAATTTTGAATGCTTGTTAAAAATTTATATGGTTTTTTAAGATCTTATAAATACATATTATCCTTTAAAATCTTATAAATTCTATTAAAATCATTTAAAATTCAATCTTATGAAATCTTGATTGTAAAAAAAATCTTTTGAAAAAATCTTTAAAGTCCTTCTAATTCTAAATTGTCTTTTTAAATCTATAATATTTTTTATCTTAAAAAAGTCTTTTAAAATTCTAATCCAATACACGCCCTAAAATTGTAGCAATTTCTTTTTTATTTTTATAATATGATTGAATATTTGTGCATTAATATAAAAAAATGAAACAATAGAAAATGGCCGCCAAAACAATAAACAATAGAATATGGATTTCAAATAAATAAAAAAGAATAAAGAAAAATTAACTTCTCTTATTTGAAATATTATCGAAGGAATAGAACATTACTATCTCTCCAACAAGAAAATTTATTCCTCCCTCCCCCATTTTCATTTTGTTCCTTTTTTTACCTGTCATCCAAACACAATGTTAATTAATAAAACATACACGAGAATCAAAGGGATCTTTCTTTATACTAAGAAATTAGCACCTAAACAATTAAAGTTAAATTGAAACAACAACCGTTTACCTTGGAAAAAAAATATTGAAACAACAATCAAAGAAAGCTAGATGGGTTCAAAACTTCAATTTTAAAAGAGTAAATACCATTTTTGGTCCTCAACAAATTTCACGATACCCGCTTTAGTCCCTAGCAAATAAAAAAACCCATTATAGTCCCTAAAAAAATTCAAAAATGGACTCATTTAGTTGAAATCGTGATCCCTCACAAATTTAAAAAAGACTCATGTTAGTCCTCAAAAGGACTAAAATGGGTCCATTTTGAATTTTTTCGGAATCACGATAGGCCTTTTTATTTGCTAGGGACTAAATCAGACACCGTGACCAAAAAAGGTATTTACTCATTCTAAAATAATAGAAGTCGAGGTTGCTAGTTACCACAACCCTTCTCCAATGGAAAACCTTTAGCATTAACTAAACCATCTTCCTTTTTATATGTCTGTTGCATAATATCTTCTCAACCATAAGTTTTTACTTGTTTGACTTTATTCTCTTTATGACAAACATCCTCCTTCCGAAATGCTTCTGCCAGTATCAAGGATGTTAAGAATATTTCTTCTTGTTCCCATCCACACTAATGCCTATAGCTTTTCTTTGATGCTGACTACCGCTACCAACTATGCTGAAGACTGAAGAGCAATCCCCAAATATCCCTCTCTGGAGTCTAGACCACCAACCAATGTTAGCATCCTTATGGTAGGAAGCTTGATTTCCATATAGATTATCTATCTCATCATCTTGGCTCCTAATTGGAGATTATAATGAAACTAATGTATTATCCGTGCGTTGTACAGAGAAAAAAAAATTGATTCGTTATTTCATAAAAGTTAACGCAAATTTTCAATAAAATTTATCAATAAAATTTTGTATGATATAAACACCCAATTGCATCACGTAAGGAACAAATAACAATTTTAATGTCTTTCTTCAGTCTCAAGTTAATGCATATTCAGGTAACAAAGCAGGTATTATTAACGCGTCAATGATAAAATAAAAGAGAGCAGTTATTAAAGACTTAATTAAAAGATAAAATAGGTAAGTGATTTGCATCTTAATATTAAATGGTGTCTATAATAGGGAACCGTGACCAACGTACCACACATTGGTCACTTTCTTACCAATGTGTCACGCGAACAATATTAATTCCTAATATGCCACGCGTCCAAGTTCGCTACAGCAGGCAACAAACTTGGTTTGTTGATGTGGCGTGTTTCTGGTGGCCACCTAGTTCGCTACTAGGTGCAGCGAACTAGAAGGCAATTAATGCCACATGTTATGCCCATTTGTCATGCCACATGGCAGGCTTAGAGGATAGGCCAGCGAACTAGGTGGGAAGCAAATGCCAACTGTCAGCATCTCACATAGTTCGCTGCATGACCCAGCGAACTAGGTGGGAAGCAAATGCCAACTGTCAGCATCTCACATAGTTCGCTGCATGACCCAGCGAACTAGGTGCAAAAAGTTGCCATCTGTCGGCATCTCACCTAGTTCGCTGCCCATGCAGCGAACTACGTGCAGAATGAGACATGTGTCAGCTCCCTACAAGTTCGCTGTGGGTACAGTGAACTACTATGTGTCCGCCTTTAAAAAAAAGTCACGATATCTTATTCTTTCTTTTATTTATTTTATTTGCAATTTGACATGAGTGCGAATAGCAATGATTTAATTGCTATTTTATATTATAATGGGAGGAGATATTTTGGAGCAAACAGTTAAGTTTTTAAAGGAGATACAAAAATGTTCTGAATGGGTGCTCAATGCAGTTATAATGTCTTGAAGAAAATAATATACAAGAAGTTAAGATTACAAGAGGGTCAATCCCTCTCTCGATTGATTACTAGATGTGTCTCTGGTAACCCAGTGCAGTGGGTTACTATGGATGTTGTCGAGGATGAAGATGTATCGTTAGTAGTAGACGCATTTCGAGGACAACAAGAGTCCTCATTCATTGAAAATGGTCAAGTTTTCAAAGGAGATACGAAAATGTTCTTAATGGGCGCCCAATGTAGTTATAATGACCTGAATAAAATAATATACAAGAAGTTGAGATTACAACGAGATCAATCTCTCTCTCGATTGAGAGCTAGATGCGTGTAATATTCCTGAAAAATAATAGTAATTTATATTAATAATAAATTAATAATAATGAATTATATATTAGTAGTAATAATAATAATAATAAATATATATATTATTAGGACTAATGATAATTTGTGATTAATTGAATTATTAATTGATTGATCTTTTATGCATTAATGTTTGATTGGTAATGTTTGATTGTCAATGTGATTGGATTAGG